GCGGCCAAGCATGATCGCCTTCCATTGGGGAGTAAAAAAGGATTGAGCACCTGAGCGAGGGTCGATCCTATAATCGTACATGTGCAATACGGCCCGTTTAGCCGTTGAGCTACGCCTCTGCTCTTAGCCAGAGTTGCTTTCAGAGCTGTCCGGGACTTTGTGCTATCCAAGGAAATCTATGGACGTCTACATGCTCTTGTCTCTATGCATACCCATGGTCAGTTATGGATTCTACCGTACAACCACCACAAACGAACCTACCCTGAAGACTTCAAAGAGCTCGTGAGTTAGATTTCTCAGGTTCAAGGCATCAAACGGTTTCTTCAAAGCTTAGTAAAATCAATACCTATTTGCAATAGATGCGCTGAAGAGATGGGGTTGAAATGTGACAATATGGCCAAAAAAGCTATTTCCATACTATTTTAGGAACTTCTCGCCACAAAAGCAGCCGCAAAAGTCTATTCATATCGAGAGACCAAGTACCGAATAGGTACAGCCGCGGATATGCTCGGTGAGATAACAGGATGACATGTGGCTAAAGCCAGGAGAGAGCATCGATAAGTAGGCCTTATGATGAGCTCAATTGTGACGACTAGTTAACTAGAAGAGTTGAAAAATTATTCCACGGTACAGTTCAGGAGATCCGCGTTGCGGCGGCCCGGCGAAAGCTGCGTCGTGGGTGTCGCCGCGTGCGCGGCATTCACTCCAAGTCCAAAATTCACTTAAAGAGAAAATAGAATAAATCAATAAACTATACCGCGCTTAGAGCTAGTATTTACACGTTGCTGCAACTCGGATCTCCTGACCTGCAATCGTGATTCCAAGCAGGAAAAAACGATGACGAACAAAATTCTAGCACTAGCTTAGGAATTTTTTAGGCACGGCAACAGGCGGTGCAACTGATTGGATCAAAAAGAACACACCCACGAAATATGTCTACGTATTGGAGCTGCCACCAGATATGTCCAGTAAGTATTTCAACACTGATTCCCTCTATTGACGCTAGGCTACGTTCATGTCAGGCGACTCGCACGACCAGTGGAGCTCGAAGAAATGAAAAATAATGACAAACATGCTCCACTGCCAATCGTGGAATCGCGCTGTCGTTCAGGCCATTATTGGCCAAGCACACCTTGCAAGGTTCCAAATCAACTTCATATTTCAGCCTGGTTCGCTTTCCAAATCAAACCACACTGGCTGATTCCAATTGGTAAAGAGACGTGGATGGGAATAAAGGTGAATTCTACGGACTGTTTGAAATCTGAGTCTGAGCGGGAAGGCTAAACCACCTTGATTCTGCGCCCCTCTGCGGGTTTACTCGCAGAACACTGCGTACTTTATCGGCGCAGGCGAACACTAAAGAAGTTCGGCCTCATCTCGCTTCTGGTTGTGTCCTCCCCTCGACTACGTCTGCCCCGAGCTACATGACGTGTGGGTGGGGGACCACTCCACAGCGCCCCAGGGCACATCGTTGGTTGGGGATTCTGGTCGACTCCGTACGACTCCCAGCCTCCACCCAGTGGTTCCCTCCTCTAATACGATCTAGCTGTCGAAAAGTCAACAACCGGGAAAATTTCGCCCACGCTGGAAATTTCTTCGGAAGGCAAATACGACCCTCCTGCCCCAGCAACCAAATACCAGGCGTACCCCCTTCCGACCGCTGTTGGGACACACACCCGTGATCGCCGTGTTGCCCTGTCTTTTACCCTCCTCTTAAAGATCCAATTCGCCGCAATCAAAGTTGCTCGAGTATGGTGCTACCAGTTTCACCGAAGCAGTGGCCCATTTGTAACCCCCAGAGTGGACCAAAATAAAAAATTGCGGAACAAAAAAAGTAACAACCTTTGCGCGACACACCCTGAACACAGAACTCCATTATCTCCAGCACGTGGGGGACGCGGGAGCCACCTGGACGAGGAGTGTGCCGTGGACGTGGCTGCCAGAAATCGAATGCGGGCACCCGCAATGGCGTTCGCGACGTTCGACGTAGGATACTTTTAAAGGGACGGTAAGAGTCGGTACCGGACCGCTTGCGTCCCTACCCGGGTCAGCGAGCTAGCGAGCCTTGTGGAAATCGCTATAACTTCCTTATCGCACCCTATTGAGGGATGAAAGTGGTATCATTTTCGTCAGGGCGTAGAGGGTTCCAAGAGGCACGGAAGTAATTTTGAGGTCCAGTCTTGCATCGCGGGAGAGTCTTTTAATAATCCTCAGGGGTCAGAGCTGGGCACTACGGTCTAGAATTGTAGCGCATTAGCGATCGGCAGAGCAGTCTTAGTTTGCACTCCCGGCAACGACGGTCAGAACTTCGCGGACAGCGTTAAGCGTCTTGGTCGCGTGTTTCGACACGATCGATACAGTCGAAATGCATGCACATCCGATCGCTTCCAACGCGCGCCGAAGCGCTTCCGCTTCGACAGAAGACATATTAGAACGACTGGTGAACCTGGACCATGTTTTGTGTCGCTCTAAAGACTCGCGAGACATCGGCTCCACAAAAACGGCAAATTCGGTTGGGCACATTTTCTTCTCCAACTATCTAATTGTTACAAGCTCATTACACTAAGCGATCCAAGTAGATCGAAGCAGGATTCAATCAACCCGAGCACCAAAACGACGAGCCAGTAGATTAGCGATGTCCTTGTTGTAGTCGTAGTGATTTCGTTGCATGTCATTCCTTGTTTGTACATAGTACCCGTTTGATACTATTGAAAAGTTCTCTCTTCCGAGAGAAACATGCTTACAAACAGATAAGACTGGTTGCCCACAATTAAAAGAGATTTAATTGTGTGCAAATTCATGGTCAGGACACAAAGCCTAACACGGCGTCATACGGCCCACTGTTCTTTACGAAAAAACACCTCCGGTAGTCGGCGCGCATCGCGGTGCAGGCTCTGCTTGATGTGTAAGCTTTCAATGTAAACGACAAGAGATCCACATTCGCGCAGTTACCGGCGTGAGCGCAGCGACTAGCCGGCGCTGCGAGCAGACGGGGTTTTTCTTGCTTAGACATTCGAATGGTTGTATATGAAGGGCGGAGAAGAAATTGTTTCCATGCAAAGAGCGCCAGAGCTGTTTTACTGTTCTAAACTCCTCACTCATAGGAGGCGATAGAAGTACGGAAATGGCTGACGGAAATCATAAGGGAATGGCACAAAACACGGAGAAAGTGTCTCGGAGGGACCTCATGCGCAAGACACACTTTTCAAAAAAAAAACATTGCAATTGTTCTTAATTACCGAGTTTCGCTGCTTCGAATCGAGAAGATCCTGAGCGTACAGTTGTAATTTCCCGCGCCTGCCGCTGTGTGACGGGCCCAACAATTGAAGATTCCCGCGCTCATCGCCGTGTGCTCCGCGCGCGACGGCGCGGCGAATTACGGGTTCTCTAAGCGTCCGCTCTCCCGCCCCTCCGGTCCGCCAGCAATACCCATGCACGAGCGAATAGCTAAGAGCCAGCGGCCTCACCTAGCCCACAACTTTCCAGCAAGAGATGAACCAGGATAGGCTCAGCTTGCCAGATGATGTAATCACTTAAGACAAAAACATAGTGGAGGAACGACGGCAATTAACGAGAAGATCCAAACGGTTCAGGGCAGCATTAGGACATGACAGAACATGAAAATGCCTTTGGTTTACTAAACAACAGTTGTCTATTGGGCAAATGTAGCCTTTATTAAAAGATCACGGAAGCCTCAGGGAAAAGAACTCATCCAAAACTTCCGTGATCTACGACCTCCTGCTTACAAAAAGTGGACGAATTTTCCGGAGCTCGTTTTCTGTTAGGAACTCGAACGGCGCAAAATTAACGTGATTAGACCTGAGTGCATATCTTATCTGAAAGGAAAGTGAAAAACTGAGGGATAGTCTGCGAATGAGTAGGCATTTTGATAAGATTAATGCAGTGGGACGGTTGGAGGTTAACACTGTGTTGCTTGTGGTGCTCCTTGCCACTGACAGTGAGTGATCCGATAATCGAACTTCTCGTTTTCGTTCCAATCCTTTGGAGATGTAAACATGCAGAGCCTCGATTAGGTTGGCAACGGGTACCGAGGTAGTTGGAGGGGGCATTCGTTCTGGAGCTCAGGCCGCTCCGATACCCTGCTCGTCTGCGCCATATCAAGGGGATTATGTTCGGTGTGTGTGCCTGAGGACTCAAACGAGCAAGGGATGGGCATGGCTTGGCCAATACTGCTGCCAATAAGCTAGGTACCATTTTACCGGTGCCAGAGAGTTTGCAGAAGCTATGAAGACAACGATAAAGCAAAACGTATTGAAAAAAGCAAGAAGCCAAAGCACTACCCCCCCCCCACATGCTACGGTATCGAACCCTACAAATCCTTTCAATCCTGGTGATCAATAATTGATTTGAAAGTTGCGCGCAGTTCAGGTTGTCGGGGGAACCAAAAGCTACTCAAAAAAGTTTGAACAGGCTGCTTTGTGAAGACTTTAGGCCGCGTTCATACACAGCACCTCCGCGGCCTCCGTGGCCTTCCGTGGCCTCCGCGGAATTTCCAAATCGATACGTATACTTTGCTTATTCTAAAAATTCCGCGGAGGCCACGGAGGCCGCGGAGGCGCTGTGTATGAACGCGGCCTTACCATTTAAGCAAGCAAAGTAATTTACCTTTGCGGCTTCCCAAGAATTTACAGGTCGAACCCAAGTGAGACCTGCTGGTTAACATTAAATTGCGAAAGGATCTAATGAAAGTGCAATCTGCCCCTTCCAAGCCAAACAGTGCGAAACTTTGTATAGACGGATGAGAGCACTGTTTCTAACGTTGAATGTTGATTATGTACGAAATGAAACTTGTGAAGAATTAGCAAGAAAGTGATAAAATGACTACATTTCATCCTAATGGATCCAGGAGTGCGGCGTGGACCTCGGACGAGTTATACTGTACCCGAAAACATTTGAAGAATCACTTTGTGCTTATGTGGTCGCAATTTTCATCGGCGTTGGATTATCGTTTCCTCAGCCATGGTGACTGCAGTATTGGTGGTAAGTGACTTCAAGGGATATGTAGCTACAAAGCTGACACTATTTGCTAGGGGGTGGGGGCGGTTTTGTCCCAGTTCGCTAGTTTTACGAGTTCCTGCAAAACCACATGTCTCACCTTGGAAAGACTTGTAAACTCTTGTCATGTCGAAAGAAGCTTGTGCTATTGCAAAGCTTCGCAGGAGTTTACAGGTCTCCATGGAAGCATCGGCAATGGACGGTGGGAACTGGTAAGATGCCCCCACCAAGTCGAACGGTGTCCCAAATCACATCAGGAAAGGGCTAGCCTGGAAAAGCGGAGCCCTTCCCTCGTTGACAAGGGTGTGCCCGTGCCAAGCGTACCTGGGATAATCTTAGAATCTGTGAAAAGGATTAGATACTTATCCACCGAGAGCTATACCGGCGATGGTTGAGCCACAGAAACGGCATTTTAGTTGCACTAACAGTTGATATATTGTATTTGCACATCGACGGGGGTGTCAGCAGACGTGGAATGGCCCTCCTGCGAGGTCGTCTATTACTTGTTGCTTTCTACCTAAACGCGGTTACTATTGGTAGAGAACGTGCCGCGGAGGTCTTATTCCACGCCTCCTGACACCTCTCCGACGGAAAGATGAACCTCGATTTTTCCTGTCATTTCTATCTTGGTGTTCCCATATTCCCATACATACCCATAGTAGACGCGCGCGCGATGTCGCGTAGCGTTTTGTAGGCCCTAAACCGCCGAAGGTCGCATTCCCAGACAACATCTTTTTTGATGACCATTTGAATATTGACAAATAATAATATACCCTATTTTTGCAGTGGTATCGTGTTCCGGTACCGCGTTACACGTACAAATTAGTAACAGGAACGGGTGAAGGTGAACGGACCACAAGAGATGTGAGTGATTTACTTCAAACATTTAACCTCGGAGGGTCCAGACGACCTAATAAAAATGACTTCACTAACAAGCTGCCAATCGCCTTGGGGGGTGCCACACCTGTAAGTGCTTGTGAGCATATCAAATCCTATAAACTGTACTCATTTGAATACCGAACAACCTTGTCAGCACCCCGTAAAACTTGCTGTCCCCTGTCAAGCATCCTGTAAACCCCTGTAAAACCTGCCAAAATGACCGGTCAAGGTTGGGAACAAAATGGACTCGCCAAGCATGACGAAAAAAAAACACAAGATACTTGACAGGGACTGACATTATTTGCAAGATCAAACTTTGTGAATAGGCAAAAGAAAAGGCAAAGACTCACATTGGAAAGCCTTACCGGTCTGCTCCCCCTTTTCCCCCT